CTGTACTTCTTTCATTAGTATTTTTCAGCCTTGGAGTCATGCCTAACAGATGGCTTATTTAATTTAAGAACACATGTTAACTTTACTCCAAGTTTTTAACTGAAGGGTTGAGTCATGTTTCTTGATTTGTTGCCATATTTGTTCATTTATTACTGAATAATCCAACCCAATATCTATATGACCTACTACTTTCACACTATTAATTTTTACTTTTAGTATTAGGTGTGGCAGATCAGTTTCAGCTGTATTTTAGCCAGTTCAGTGTTATCTAATATTGCTGGGTACAAATTAATCAAAGTTTCTTTAAATTCTCCCCAGTGCTAGAAAGCCATTTCTGATCAAAAAGCCTTCCATTATCCTAGTGGCCCTCTCCTCAAAGAAGAAGCTGCAGTTTCCACCCATTTATTCTCAGGAACTTCATACATATAAGAATGTCTTTTCAAACTTTTAAGAAACTCCAAGACATTGAATTCCAACTTACTGTCAAACCTCTCAAAAGGCAGTGGTGGTGATGTAAGTCAATGAATTTTCCACAGCACTAATTATAGAATAAACTCTTGAAGTTTGAGGTGGGGGGGAAGGGAAACTTTCTTTCTCTTGCAAGTAGGTGAGCTATTAGCAGTTGCACCTGTTCCATCAACACTGCTTCAAACTTTCCACATCAGCTTCATTAAAATCCATAGTTTGTTTGTTTGTTTTTGAATTTCGTGCAAAGCTGCATGAGGGCTATCTGCACTAGCCATCCATAATTTAGCAGTATAAGAGTAAAGGGAAAGAAGCTAGTCATCACCACCCACCACCAACTCTTGGGCTACTCTTTCACCAACAAATTGTGGGATTGATCGTCACAATATAATGCCCCCATGGCTGAAAGGGTGAGCATGTTTGGTGGGACAGGGATTCGAACCCACGACCCTCAGATTACAAGTCGAGCACCCTAACCACCTGGCCGAAATCCGTAGTAACAGTTATTATTGGCTACAACTTAACTGAACCTAAATTATTGCTGAATTAATCACTTGACAATGAACTGAAAAACAATCCACTCAAAAGTCAAAACTCAAATACTCTATATGAAAAGGTTCCTGTTTGGGTGCCAATCTAAAGGTCACTACAGCCAGGGTTGAAACACAAAAACAAATTTATAAACTTTATATTTCACATGTTTCAAAGTTTCGTTTTGGATTTCTGTGGTTGTCAAAGTATAATAAATTTGTTTTTTGAGTTTCAAACCTGATTGTAGTGGCTGTTTGTGTTTTAGACCATTATAACCTCTCTGCACAACAAAGATCTGTTACCGCACATGCACTGCTTTGGAAATTTCTGTGCATGTCACAAGTCATGAACAAAGTTTCTACCCTTACACATGTCATCTTGTATTGTACCAGCCTATGATGTAATCATCATTAGAGTATAGTCCTCAACTACTATGAGGGCAGCACATCGTACATGTGCAGTAATAGTGATCTCCATTAGTACTAGCATTTGAACAAAGGGTCTTTCTTTCATTGGCACTTATTGTCTGCAGACGTATTTTTTTAGGAATTACTGGAAATTTGCATTTATTAATTTAAAATTTTGTTACCTTTTGTAGTGTAATCTTTCTTTCCTTAATTTTCTTGATTATATGCAAGAATGATACCACATTTGCATTATCTTCAATTTGATTTTCTTGTACTTAGATTTTTCCTTTGGGACATATGTTCTCATTGTTTGTTCCTGTTGTTTAATCCAACATATGGATTTTGTTCTGTTATTTTCACAACCATCATTAGGCCTATGCACTGTCAATGTTCCTGGTTGATTTCTCATAAAACAAAAAAAAACTTGGATTCTGTGATATTTCTCATATTTTAAAAAATAAACCCCATCAGAATCAGTTTCATGGATCAACTTGATTATGTATTCATGTTTCCACATTTTTGACATCTCCTCAGGTTTTTGACACTCCTTCACAGGTGTCATCCAGTACTACATCTTGACAGGAAACATCTGACGTTGAGTGGTATTATCACTGTCCTGCACCATGTGGTTAGTTCCATTCTGATCTTCTGCTTCCATTACTTCAGCTGAGTCTGTCCCTAATGGTAACATGTTTCACCACTTATTTCTACAACTGTTTTTGCTTCTAATGCCCTCTTTTTGTTGAAGATCAGGTATTCTCACCTTCATTCTTCACTGCTTAGATTCCAGAGGTATATGTCTTTTGTTTTCGCTTCCTCCAGTTATTTTTTGCTGAATCTTGAGCTCCCTTGTTGCATGAGCCTCCATCACTTGAATCTTTTCTTTCAGCTTTAATATATCTTCTTTTTTCTTTCTCTCTCTCTCTCTCTTCATCTACTCATCTTCTTCTCTTACTCAACTTCTTCATTCATTCCCACACTTTCTCTTTTTTCAGAGGCTTTCTATCTTGACCCTATCAGTTTGATTTTGGCAATTTACATATACATGTTTTCCACTTTGCTCTTAATTTTCTTTCATTTTGTCCCAGTTAACTTAGTTTCTTTGTTTCTGGGATATAATTTGTTAGGTTGCCTTATTTTTTGACATTTGCCTCTTCCAATCAAATCTCCAGGCCCTCTGTGTTGCACTTTTTCTTTGTGACATGGTTTTTAGGGGTATCTTTGGTATCTTGATGATGCAGCTTATCAGCAGTAATCTGTACTCACTTTAATATCTGGCTTTTGGGAAGAGGTGACCCCCTCAGGTTTTACATCACATACAGCATCTTACAGTTGTCTCCTCTCCTGGTCCTTGTCTTGTTACTGTCCAAGGTTTCCCTCTTTGAGGACTAGCTGTTGCAGGTTCTGGGGGCAATTTATTTTCTGGTGTCACCTCTCAGCTCCAGTCCTGTGGGAGCTCTGCTCTTCCACATTTTACAGCTATGGAATCCTTTTGCTACAACCCATGGAGTTCCCCAGGTGCATTATCATTAGGTTTTTCTTGTTTTTCTACTCCCCATCTTACCTGTATCAAATTCCATAAGATAATTCCTTTACTCCACGCTGGGCATTTACTCCCATCCTTTTGTCATTCCCATGAAGATGTGTAATTTGTGGCCAGTCATCAGTTTGTCCGAATTGACCCAACTTTGGTCTTCCCACAGTTTCTGGTGGACAGTTTTCCCACTCTAAGGTTCCAGTTTCCCAGTTTGAGGTCTCAGACACTTTCTCCACATCGTGATTTGTTCATCCACCTTTCTCTTCTTTCAGCTCATCCACAATGATCAATTCTTCAGTTTTCAGCCCTTTTTGTTGAGTTAGCTCTGGCTCTGTCAATTCTCTTTGGTTTGGTTGGATTTTACTCATCAGTTACATTCTTAAGCAAAGTATTCTATTACTCTGCCGACATTTGGCTTCTATTTGCCCTTTCCAGTGTAGCTTCCTTCTCCTTCAAGAGTCTTCTCATATGGGGTGGCTGATTAAGTTCACCAATTCATTCTTAACACACACACATACCCCTGTATCTCATTCACTTAGGGGTCTTTCTCTCTTTGTATGTGTGGCAGGTTCAGCCTACTTCTTTATATCCTTCAGAAATAGAGTTTTTGGTACTGAGACTCTCATGTCTCCTTCATTTTCTGCTTGTTCCTCTTGGATGTGTCCATAATGTCCCCTTCAATGGTTTCTGGCCTGTTAATGCAGGTATGCCTAGAGATTCACTGTCTTCTTTTTCCCTCTTGTGATCGTGATGACTCACTTGAATCCACTCAACCCAAAACATCACTCTTCCCTACTCTACTTAGTCCTGCATCTGTTGGGAGCCCTACAATGCTTTGAAGTAAGTTGGTGGGCTCATTCTACTTACATATATGGGTTTGCATATCCATGATGAATGCAGCACAGGTGGCACATTGTGTTGCTTTGCATTTAAAGAAAAGAACCCCTACATACAAATCTTTCCACCACTGCCTCTGTTCAGGTGGGTGCAGTTCTTAATGCTTGGTCCATCTGGTTTCCAGAGGAGAAGTATCTGTATCTATGCCCTCATGATGTTAACTGGGCTCCACAGGCTTGCCATTATCCTCAATGTTGTCTTTATGGCCTTTTTTTTATTATTATAATGATTCATTCAGACACCTCTTCTTTTATATCATCCATCCCCTGATGGGGTGGTATTCACTCCTGGTGCCTCTGTTTTCCTAGTCCTTGACCTTCTCTCTTTAGGTCCATAACCATTGCATTTAGTTGTCAGTCTGTCATGTCTTTGGAGCTCAAGCCATGGTGGTAGATTGGTTATCTCACATAGGCTGGACCAATCCTCTGGTGTTTTTTGTGGATTTGCTCACTATGGGAGTTCTATCATCACTGTCTTTCTGATTCCACTCCTTGGTTCCACTCCTGTGGTCTCCAATTCCAGATTCTACAGCTTTGAAAGATAAAGCTGTGTGTTTGGAGTGGTTCAACCTCTTTTTTTATTCCTCAGACATATTTCTTTTCCTTCTTACTTGTGGGAACTGTTGCTCTCACACGCTATTTACTATAGGGACAGGTTGATCTTTTCCTGAATGCTCTTTTCTCCCCAAAATTTGGATGGCTTGAGAGGATGATTGAATGTTCTCTCAGTTCCATCTCCCTTCCATTTCTTTCATGTATGATTCTTCTGTTGTGTCAAAATTAACTGGGTTATATTTTCCAATTATAATATTTTATGTAGAGTTAGGCATTGTGTAACTCAACTACTTTTTAACACAACAGAAATAAACATATGCTTTTGGCAGAAGTTTTGTAAGTTCTTGGTTAATTTTGTTATTTTTGTGAATTACTTCCAGTCCACGTGTTATGTATTAAGTTGTCACAATTTTAGTACAATTCAGGCTGCAAAATCAACTCTTCATAAAAATCAGCTAATACCTTTCCGATTTTGGTCATTAATGAATTTGGGTGCTGAAAAATTATTTATTTCTCAGCCTTAATTTGTATACCTTAAAAAAAACATTTAGTTAGTTAGCAGATAACAGTATTTAGTGTATAATTCTTTGTTTAATTTGTGCCCACTAGATCTTCGAGCTATAGAAGTTGATTGTCTTACTCTTGGCCAGTACATGCAACCAACAAAGAGACACTTGAAGGTATGGAAAATCTAAATATAACAATACTTAATAGTTACAAAAAATAAAAACTTTTAAGCTGCTTAATTTAATGTAATACAATTCACAGGATCCTTCTGAATGTATTTGTTTCTTCCATTTTAGTATTTAATATATTTTTCGACTTTTTTTTTATTGGCAAAGTTAGAGTAATTCTGTTCCAACATATCTATAATTAAAGTAGAGTCATCCATCTATATGGTGTCATAAGTTGTTGAAACTGGCTGAACCAATTATCATAAAATTTGGTAGAAAAACTGGAGTGGATATCCCTAAAAGATTAGTATGGGCTACTGAATGAATGATTCAAGTTTGGCAGCCATTTCAATTTATTGCCTCAATGCCATGAATGAGAGAAGAAGTCAGTGAGGAGGTTGGTAGCAAAATGCATAAAGCTGACACTAAATGAAAGTAATGATAATGCCCCAAGTGGCACAGGTACCTTTTCATTGGATGGATGGTTCATGTGCTACACAATGGCGGAAGGGGACAGCCTATACCTCCTATGGTGTGTAAAATAATTCTTAAATTTTATGTGATATGAAACTTGTTTGTATTTTACATGTAAACTTGGAAAATATCTAAAAATAGACATGTGTACCTCATTTTATGATCAAATGTAGTTTTATAAAATATGTAATTTTTATTAAACTGTATTTGACAGTAATGGTCAAATAACCTACTTGTTATGAGTCACACATGTAACAAAAGATAAAGATTGCAATGGTTAAAAAAAAGACCTGTATCACCATATATGTTTTTTATAGCTTTGAGCATGAATATTTGGACCTTATCATTTTGAGATACACCACTTCTGCATCTAATGCCCAATGCTATGAAACATACCTTCTTTCTCCTGACAATCATAAATCTTTAACTCTGATTTGTTTGTATAGTCTTATTTTTTTGTCTAACTAGTTCTGCCCTGTTTCCCAAGAGCTGAAGACATCAAAAATATAGGCAAGAGTATCTGTGATTGCTGCTGTATCCAGTTTCACAAGTTCTCCAAGTTCAAAGCTATACACTCAGAGTTTCCATATAATTTACTTAAAATGCTGGTCTTTAAACACATAATCAGAAAGCTTATTATACCTGACATTTCTTTGATATTTGCCAGTTTCATAAAGTGTAAACTTCTGCCTTCTGACAGCAGAAGTTCTTTAACACTAGCATCTCATATTTTGTGAAGTTCCTCTCATATACAAGTTTGAGTGTTACTTCTTGCCTCTAGCTATACACTTACAATCATCATTTTCATGTATTTCAACTACACTCTGTACTGAAGTAATGTTAAGAAAATATTCAGACAAATTGCATTCCTTTCAAAATACTTCATTCTATATGATTGATAATATTCATTCAAAACAAATAAAATACATAATCAGAAAGCTTATTAATATTATCATGCCTAACAATTCTTACATGATGCATAACTGAGCAATAACTTTTGATGTAAGCTGAAGTTTCTATTCATCCTATGCTTAATGCATCCAGCTGTACAGTGTATAAGAAACTGAGCTCTTCGTCTGTATACATTTGTATACGAAGAAGTCCATAGCACAACTTGAGAAGAGGAATATAAGTAAATCCATTAAAAATCCATGTACCAGTTATTAATATGCAACTAACTGGAGATATGTTGTTAGAGGAAAAAGAAAAGAAACAAGAAGAGAGACAACAGCAGTTGCAAGAAAACCTGCAACAATGGCAGCTCAAACAGCAAAATGAACAAGAGAAATTACAGCAGTTGTTGGAGGAAAAAGAAAAGAAACAAGAAGAAAGATTACAGCAGTGGCAAGAAAACCTGCAACAGTGGCAGCTCGAACAACAAAATAAACAAGAAGAGAAATTACAGCAGTTGTTGGAAGAGAAAGAAAATAAACAAGAAGAGAAGTTACAGCACTTGTTGGAGGAGAAAGAAAATAAACAACAAGAGAAATTACAGCAGTTGTTGGAGGAGAAAAAAAATAAACAAGAAGAACGAGAAAAGAAACAAGAAGAGAGACTACAGCAGTGGCAACTGGAACAAGAAAGGAAACAAGAAGTACAAATAGAAAAAATTAGTAAATTTAAAAGCAAATTAGATACATTAAGAGACGATTTATTGTCTGTTACACAAGGAGGATACATTGACCATCGACTTAATCAGCCTCAGACAATGGCAAGCCCCTTACAGAGCCCGCAGCTATACCCTAATGCAGACATATTCAGCCCCGTTAGAAGTCACATCCCACATATGAATATCAGTAATAGGAGTGATCCAGTGCGAAGGAAGCAACAGGAATATGATGGGAAAAGCACCATGGGAAGCATATAGAGCCCAGTTTGAGCTACTGGTAGAGATGAATGGATGGACAGAGGAGCAGAAAGCTGTATATCTGGCAACGAGCTTGAAGGGACAACCACTGGAAGTACTTGGACAGTTGACAGCAGCCGACAGGCACAGCTATAGAACACTGGTGTCGGCTCTAGAACTCAGGTACGGAACCCAAATCCAGTCAGAAGTCTACAGTTCACGACGAGAGTCCGTGCTAAAGGGGAGAGCCTGCAAGAGCTGGCACAGGACTTGGAGAGCATGGCATACAAGGCCTACCCAACTGCACCACCCGATCTCCTCAAGTTGTTGCTGAGGGATCAATTCGTAGGTGCCTTGGACAGGCCACAACTTAAGATACAAGTGAAGCAAGCACACCCCTCTACCATGCAGGATGCAATGGCCAGAGCTCTCGAATTTGAATCCTACGTTAAGTCCAGCACAGTCATCTGGATTCAAGGCCAGAAAAGGTCAGCTTTCAGAGAAGTTTGAGGGACTTTGCTGGCACTGTAACAAACCTGGGCACAAGAGAGCTCAATGCTGGAAACTTCAGCACAGGGGAGATGATACAGCAGGAAAGGCTGCTACCCAGAAAGGCTGTTGGAACTGTGGGGAGCAAGGACATTTGAAGAGCCAGTGTAGGAAAAATATTACCAACAAGTCGGCCTCAAGAAGACCAGCAGTGGTTGGTGTTGAGCGACACCCACCAACCCCCATCATGAAAGTCCCAACAGCTATGTGACAGGAAAGCTAGATGGCCAAAGGTGCAACTTTGTCATAGACTCTGCGTCTCAG